TTCCCAGTATCTATAATTACTTCCACACCATATCGCTCCTCAGAAATGCACATTAAGATATCTAATCCCTTTTCTGGTGGTCAGTGGCCTGCCATAGGACGTTAGGGAAAGGTAGGGACCGCAAAACAATTTGCGGAATAGCTAGCGTTAGCCGGCCTCCCGCCTTAGGAGCCTCCTTGGCTCAGTGGCTAGAGCGTGTCTTTCCTATAATGCAAGGGGTCGAACCCGGCTAGGAATAGGACGAGGTCGCGGGTTCGACCCCCGCAGGAGGTTCTTTTGTTACGGTAGTTGATCTCTTTTAGTTCATGGAGTCACTGGAGAGCGGTGGGCGGCCGGAATCACCTCCACCCGACCAAACGGTTAGGAATGTACCGTTTACCCCCCTGGTACTTCATAATTTTGACCCCCTTGTCATAGATACAAGTAGATGTTGTTTCGGTATTGTTCCGAGTTGGGTGGTGGAGCTACGTTGATCCTTGTAACACGCAGACGGTCCGTGCCTAGCATTTACTGGTGTTTTTTCATTGCAGAAATCGAACGGGGCCTCTGCCAGAGAGTCGAGTGTAACTCCCACAACTCCAAAATGAGTCATGTTTCCTATCAAAGGTTCCTCGGGAATGGAAGGGCTTTCTAGTATCGCTCTTCAGCTCTATGGAATGAGGAGAGGCGATTGGCGAGTCGGTGGTTCAGCCTTGAACCTGAGTAGTCAAAGAATTGCACAGGTAGAGCCCCAGAACAACCACATCCCAACAGTACCGATTTACTCCCAAGAGTGGATTGTTGGACTTGGCAGTGTTTACTGGCGTACCGACGCACCGGTGGAGCCTGCCCTTTTCTAAGGCCCAACGATTCCAAGCGCCCAAACAGAGTCATAAAGTAAACCAAGGAAACAACCCAGCAATATTAGGTCGTCTACGTGGTCTTGAGCCAATGCTGGATGACATAAAGGCCTCCTTTTCCTCGTCCGGTCGGCATCCAGACCTTGGAGCCGTCCATCGGAGCAAACGTCCCCGCCCGCCAACCAGAGGCGGCTATCTCTCTCATTTGCTTCTCATCGTGTCTGTACGATCATTTATGAGCGAATGAAGCACAATAGAAAGCTTCCAGACATGCCCTAGAGGTTGTCATTACTAGGACAGACGCCCAATATGACCGCAGAGGCAAGCCATAAACGACAAAAAGCGCACCGGAATCAACCTTTGTTTCGACCCGCTCAACAACCACGGTCCGCACTTGAGCCGCTCTCTCCTGGAAGGGTGTAGAGAGGCAATTCGCAGCACAGGGGGATAGGCCGGACCACTGTGAGACAAACAACCTCGTGGCCGTTGCCCAATCCCGTTGCATCGTCGTAGATGAATCGAAGGAGCTGAGCTCCCCGTTAATCGCTTCAGGTTCGTTTCACGCCTTGCTTGTGCTATTGCCGCTTTCGTTGAAATTACGCCACCATGAATTGAAATTGTTATCGATACAGTGAAATCACACCCCCTGGAATGCGGAGTCCCTATAGCCTGCTCGCCGGAACCCCCGGTTTGGAGCTAGACCCCTATACACACGACGGAGCATTTACGATGTCAGGCTCCGAGAAAGCTGCGAGGGGAGGGCGTCTGCTTAGACACCGACCTCTTGATAAAAAAGGACTTGGGCATCCTATTTGTGGCGAACGCGTCTAGTCAGCCACAGAGCCCTGAGTCCTGAATGGCGAATGTAACTAGCTCACTCCATCACGACATTCGGCGCCGACCTTCTGCAGCTCATAAAACACTTCCGTTGAAGAGTGGCTGCCGAGAAGGCGATGGCGGAGTCAGTCAACGCGGGCTGCATGTCAATGTGTGCGAGGTCAAATATCACTCACGGGCCTAATGCGGCTGCACTCTCGTATCTGATTCAAAATAGAGTTAGGATCACGTGTCAGTAATGAGAGAAATCAAGTTGCAAAAACAAAGCGAACGGACTCTTCAAAGATCAGGATTTCGTCTTCGAAGCGAGCGAAGCGGAACGTGATGCCCCCAGGCTCAGCATCCGACTCAACGCTAGCCTTGACCTTGAGCAGCGCATCTAAAAGTTCATCCGCTCGACCTGGCTTGGCTTTCATCTATTTACGTAGTAGAGTGGTTTACGCGAATTAGCTTTCTGGTTTGGCTAGCAACTAATAGAAGCCCGTACCCGGACGTGGACGATGATCTTGCCGTCAATTGCATCGGGAGAAGAAGACATGGACTCAAGTGCAAGGTGTCGAATGGCGAGGAGCGAGATGGAGAATGCTATCGCAAGAGCAGGGGGCACGTCTCCTTTTTATAAACCACGGGAATAGGTAGGTGTAACCCTGATGGTGGCAAAGGATTCGTGGGAGAAGAGATTTTCCATGATCGAGCGAACCTTGAGGCTTTTCAATCAAAGGTCAGACTTGTGTAAAACGGAGACCGCGAGGTTAACAAGGGGATCGCTAGCCGATATGATTGCGACGGAGGGTCATCGGTAAATCGGACCTTGGTCCGCTGAGGAACGGATCCCATACGGCAGCAACCCCGTGCATCGCAGCCCTGCGGCCGTTCTTGAGCGATACGGATGAGTCCCCCGCTTGACGCCAGAAAGTCAAATGCGGAGTGCTGACACAAACTTCCCCAAACCGATTCGTTCCGCTTGGGTCAAAAGGTGCAGCAGGCCATCAACATCGGAAGGGTCTCATTGGATCTCAGCACGATACAGCTCTTTCAGCGTTCGAAGTACGACCCGAATCGGTTCACTGGATCCTGGGGGAGACAGCTCAGGCGTGGTCGAGGCAGAGATGGGTACTTCCGGCTTGGTACGTCACGTGGGCGGCTTTTTCTTTAGACTGAGGCCCCGATTCTCACTCGCCTCGAATCCTCGACTTTTCCTTGATCCCTGTTCCCTTCGACCGCGCTGGCGAACCCGCAACATCTTGGACAACTCACATCCACCGTGCAGCTGTTCAAACACCTCCATATCCAGTCGCAATCGTTCACCATCGGCAGGGCTAGCCAAAACCTCAATATTAGAATAGACTGAACC